CAAGTGACTCAGCTTGCTTAGCAAAGTTGGAAAGGTCGATGTCAATTAGTTCTTTACGGCGATTTTCGATTGCATCGACAACCACTTTAATTTCATCAGTTGATTCAATTCCGCGAATTTTTTCTAAAATTTCTTCAATGTTTGTCATTGATGTTTACCTCATTAGGAATATTATAATAGTTAAAAGCGCCAAAACTTGTGAAGGCAATTCAACCTATTAACGCAGATAATATCAAATAATCTACAAAAGAGTGTGATTGAAGCAATAAATTAAGTTAATAGGCTTTGCTGATCCAACAAAAGTTGCAATAAAAAAACACATGAGCCAATAAGTACAAAAATAGAGTAGGGCTAAATACGATTAACGTATCAATATTAAGGTTTCGACCAAAGAAACCCATTGTTATTAAATTTAATGCCACATAGCTAATTGCAATAATCAAAAACAATACAGTCTGATTGTTTTTCACCTTAATCATACTTAAATTTGGTTTGATTTTAGACACCTTCATTACTCACTAATTCAATAACGAAAACAGCAATCACCTAAATTCACTCAAGAAAAATCTATATAGTACGATAGGGTTCGCCGTGGGGACTGTTAAAAATAAAAAGGGAATAAAGTAAAAACTTTCGTGAAATCGGTATTCATGAGAATAGATTTTCCAAAGCAAAATAAGAGATTTAGATTTTACGGGCAGGCAATTAACAGTTTGGCGGGTCGCGTGTCATGGATAGCTCAATCAATAAACGTGAAATTTAAAACGTGATTAAGTCTATACCAAATGGATTTTAAAATTATAAATTAGGGGATTTTTGCCCCAAAAAAGAATTAGGGGCAAATCACTTATTTTTTTGAACGGGGATGCGCCGCATCATATGCCTTTGCAAGTGAATTGAAATCAACCTGAGTGTATATTTCGGTTGAATTAATGTCTGCGTGGCCTAACATTTCTTGTACAGCACGTATATTTTGTGAAGCTGATAAGAGGTGAGTCGCGAAACAATGTCGAAACAGGTGAGGGTGCATATGCTCTCTAATTCCGCATCGAGCTGCCTGAACATTGATTCTATTTCGAACCTGATTGGCACGCAAATGGCGGCCATAATGATTAATAAACAGAAAGTCTGTATCTGGATTTTTTTGGATACGGTACGTCAACCAAACATTAATGGCCTCACAAGCCTTACTGCCTAAAGGGACAACGCGGTCTTTTCCACCTTTACCATTATTAACACGGACTAAATGTGTACTAGTATTAACATCATTTAATTTTAAATTGAGGAGTTCTGATACACGTAAGCCACTCGAATATAAAATTTCAAACATTGCCTTATCTCGTTTCCATAGCCAAATTTCAGATTCAAGTTTTGGATCAGGTTGATCAAGAAGCATAGCCATATCTTCTTCGGAAGTGATGAAAGGCAGTCTTCTAGGTATGCGCTTAATTTTAATCAAATCTGATGGACTAGATTCGATGTGTTTATACCTAACTAGCCATTTCATAAATACTTTGACCGTGGAAATGTTACGCTTAACCGTTGATTGGGTTAATCCATTTTTTTCACTTAAGAAAATTACATAATCACGCATATCAGAAATTTCGATATCGCTGATTGATAATCCATTAGAATCAAAATAGTCTAAATATTTGGCAATATCTTTTCGATATGCATATATAGAACTCTCTGAATAGTTTTCAACCAATAAACAATTAAGCCATTCATTGAGCAAATTTCGAAATTTATCGTTCATAGCCAGTCCAATTTCTTTACATACTTATTTAACTAAACGTCAAAGACATAACACGTATTATAATTTATCAATAACGACATAAAAATTTTCATAACTTAATGCAAACACTCAAAGCTAAAGTTGTAGACCTTAAATGACAACTTATTTTGTGATTTGGTTGGCATTATTTCATGGTTCGGTGTAATACACAACATTGTTGGTATACCTCATTATGTTAAATGGATTATATCTAACTATAATTTCAATTTTCTCTCTAGTAAACTCATTTTATTAGCTTAAGCGATTTAAAATCATTAGCCATCACTGTATATTTTGGAATATATTCTTTTACCGCTTTAGGTTCTTGTGAATTCTGAAATTGTAACACTATCGATTCTTTAATGGGTTCAGATTAAGAGAAATTTAACATGAGATTCCCAAATTATAATGAAGCTAAAATTCGTCAGAACAATACCCTTTTTTTGTTGATCAGTAAGCTTACAACATTCATTCAAATTAACAGCACTATCGCGCTTTTACTTTCTATGTTGATACCCGTTTTATTAAAACTTCAAACTACTGGTTATGCAGTCATAATTGTAGCCGCTTTATCAGGATTCTTATTGGGTATTAGTTTTGCTATTGTTCTTATTCAGAGATATTTGTGCAAGCAAATTATTAAAGATTAGCAGCACGAATAAGAATTGATTAAACTTACAGGCAATTTAAACAAAAAGGCTCTTGATTAAGAGCCTTTTCACCACCTACTTAATAATCTACTTGCTAAGCAACATTCAAATCAGATTCCTGCACGAATGGTTGCAAACATTCTTTACAGATAACATCCAAACCCGACTTACCCCAAATATTTTTCTTCTTCTCACAACTACAAGAATACTTTAATTTGCTCTGCCCTGGCTTCTTAGGTGTGAATTTGGCTTTATTAGTCCCCAATGGAAACATAGTATTGAAATCACCATTATCAATTACAGGTACTTTCAGTAATTGTGCATTTACTTGAATTGAGCTAAGCATTGTATCTACAAATGCTAATTCATTAACAATTTCATGCTTAAAAGTTCGATTTGGAAATTGCTTGTCATACCATTCAAGAATGGTGCCAGAAGAACATAAGTCATTACATACACGGATAAACAATCCATCAGGTTTAGGATATTCTTCCATTTTCTGACCAACTTTATTCCCACCAATACGTCCATTATGACTAGGTATTAAACCAATTGATTCCATAAGCATTGACCAGTGTTTATTGTGGTAGGTCTTAACACTATGTAGGCCACGTTGATAGATAATAATATGGCACATCTCATGGCACATTGCCTTAAGAATATCTAAGACTGGTCTCACCCCAAAGTATTCTGGATTTAAAGCCAATTCATGTAAATAATCAGACTTATCTGATTTTACGAAACGGTCATAAGACACATAACTACGGGAATTAGCTTGCCGTTGAAGTGTAATTAAACAAGGTACACATTCATCATTGAATAATTGCCGATTAAGAAAATCAAAGGCATATTGCAAATCTTCATAAAATTTCATTACTCCCTCCTAATCTTCAAATTCAAACAAATATTATGAGTAATAAATATACATATATGATATTTCATTTTTATAAAAATATCTAATTTATTTTCAAAAACACTAAAGTTCTGTAGCGAATTTTAAATTGATTTTATAATTATCAATGACTATTTTTAATCTAGAAATATCAACATACATATCAAAAACAAATATTAAATCTGTATTTATAAATATCATTCTTGAAAGACCTTAAATAGAAATGTCCCAAAGATTAACCTACATTTATTTGATTTTAATTGTTAATCAATTTAAAAAATATCATGCATTCTTTAATAGAATTAGATTGCGAATTTAAGAAAACAACCTATATTTTTCAACAGGATTTCAGTCATTTCAAAATATTAGAGATTTTATTAATAATTAGTGACAACAAATTGTTAAAACTATGGGTTTTGTACGATCAGAAAACTCGATCTTATCTAGGCTGTTCTTTGTTTCTAATCCGTCTTACACTACTCATTCTACCAAGCACGCTATATCGCGTAGGAAGAGTCATGGTCAAACGAGTTCAAATCTATTTTTCACCCAAGGCGTGGACTAATCTCCAAGGATTGATGGGAAAAGAAGGCAAACCTAGCCAAATTATCAACTCAATTTTTGAACCACTTAACAACATAACAATTGGGCATAAACTTGTCCAAAAGTCACCAAAAAACATAACTTTATCAATAGATGCTGTATCTGCAGGATTTCCCTCTCCGGCACAGAGTTATGCAGATCGTCAAGTAGACATCAACGATATATTAATCACTAATGAATTAGCCACATTTATTGTAACGGTTAATTCGCGTTCTATGCTTGAAGCCGGTATAGACATTAATGATCAGTTAATTGTAGATAAAAGTATCACCCCTAATCATGGGGATATCGTAATTGCTCTGATTGATAATGATTTCACTGTTAAGCGTTTAATGCTTAAGCCCTCCGTATATTTAAAAGCAGAAAACCCAGAATTTAAGGACATTCATTTCCAAGATGAACAACAATTGGTTATTTGGGGGGTTGTTACGTACATTATTAAAAATGCACGTTCCCGATGATTTCTATGCGTAAAGATAAAGTTTTTATTATTTGTGATCTTGATAATTTTTATGTGTCTTGTGAGCGAGTTTTTAATCCAAAACTTATTGGAAAGGCCTGTATAGTTTCTTCCAATAATAACGGCTGTGTAGTAGCTCGATCACAAGAAGCAAAAGACATTGGAATAAAGATGGGCGTTCCAATATTTAAAATCCGAGATTTGATTACTAAGTATGACGTTCAGGTTCTCTCTAGTAATTATGAATTGTATGGAGAAATGTCCAGGCGATTTCATAAAATTTTGCAAGGTTTTGCTTCGGAAGCACATATAGAGAACTACTCTATAGATGAAGCCTTCATCGATTTAACAAGTTATCAGTCTTTATTTGACCCTTATCAATACTGCCAGGACATTAGAACGAGAATTTACTCATGGCTAGGATTAAAAGTATCCTTTGGTATAGGCAGATCAAAAACAGAGGCTAAAGTTGCAGTGCACATAGCAAAGAAAAACTCTTTTTTTAACGGTGTGTGCGATCTAAACGCATTTGATTTATGTAGCAAAGAGCATGTATTTTCGGAAATTGATGTAGGTGAGGTTTGGGGTGTTGGTACTCGAATTTCACAACGCCTCAAAGAGATGAATATAAATACAGTACTGGATCTTGCGTGTGCTGATGATCAGATTATAAAAAAGTATTTTTCAATTGTACTGCAGCGCACTGTGTTGGAGCTTCGTGGTATTTCTTGTTTAGAATTAGAAAGCGTGCCACCACCGAAACAACAAATTATATCAAGCCGATCATTCCCCAAGCATGTTACATCCAGAGATGAACTCAATGACGCATTGTTGTATCACTTGCAGGATGCTTTCAAAAGGCTGAGAGATGATAAATCCTTATGCGGCTGTATCACTACATTTGCTAATTCAAATTATTTTGATAAAAACACCTCATATTACAGCAAATCAAGCTCATACGTATTCCCCACTCCAACTGACAACCTTTTAGAGTTAAGCAAAGCTGCTGCAAGACTTACAGATAGCATCTATCAATCAGGCGTGAACTTTAAAAAATGTGGTGTTGGCTTAACATTTTTGGAGTCTAAGACAACGCATAATTATGATTTGCTAACCGATCCAGAAGACATTAAAAGAAATGAAAGTTTAATGTCATCTATTGAGGAAGTTCACAGTAAATTCGGGAAAAAAACGCTTGCTTTAGGCGCAAGTCAGATGAATCAAGGTAATTGGCAAATGACGAGAAGCAATCTGTCCATTAACCCTTTCTCTATAAAGTCCTTATTGCAAATTAGTTAAAAATTTTGGAACCCGCCCTACTGCCTTGATCACGTTTTTTATTTTCTAATTAATTGGGTTTACCCCATGCTCTATCGTACTATATAGAAATCCTTAATATTAAATAATAAGTCTCACGATATGATTTTGATTTTTCCGAGGAAGGTTTTTGAGATTGGCATTTAAAAAAATTGTCTTTTGCAGTAGCCCTATCGTACTAAATAGCTCTTCAAAAATTACAATTCAGGCCTAATTTGGACTCATTTAATTGCTTCTCACCCAGGCCAGTTGAAAATTTATACTAAAAATGGATAGTGATGATTGAATATTGGGTTTTTACATTAGTTTATCCAGTTTTACCCTTCATTTAGATTTTAAAAAAACCCCTGTGGTAGCATTTAATTTTGGGTAAATGGTATTTGATTAATGTCTACAATAAATCACGGCGATACATCAGCTAACGTTGATTCTAGGAATAAATATTTTAATCGGAAATTTTCCAAATTTAATAAAATCACAACTGTATTTGCCGGTGTTTTCGTACTAGGCATTCTTTTTTACGATCAGTTTACTACAGTAAGTCAGGATGAATTACAGAGCATTGCCCTGCTTAAGTCGCAATTATCATCACAAGAAAGTAAAGATGCTTTTGATCAAAAAGCCCGGTTGTTGCTCAAGGATCGAATACTTACTGCGGAAGAAAAGAACGAACTGGCTTTATATTCGGATAAACTAGTTGCTCAAGAGCGTATCGAATCAGAAGTGCTTAGTAGTATTCCAACTCCTAAAGCCTTTTTATCAGATAAGACCTCTGAATAATCCGAACCGGATGATCAAATAGAATTATTAATATTGGTGAGGTATGCACCGTACTAATATTTGATAACCTATACAAGCCCATTCCTTGATAAGCCTTTAAAATAAAGGCATACAATTTATTCAGGGAAAACATTTAATATAGGGTCACAAATTTTTATGAAAACGATTGGGGAAGCCTGGAAGCTTTCTGAGTCGTCAATATAGTAAGGAGCTATAATGCACTACACTGAACATCCCGATTATCATCTATACAAATCCCAAATAGACCAATTACTTAAAGATGGTTTTCCTAAAAAAACCTATGCTAGGAATTTAGTCCGTAATCACTATATAGAACAGCCAAAAATCAAACTGACAGGCCAATACAGTATCAAAGAGCGCGAATTCAAGGATATTATTGGTAAAAAAAAGGGACTGCTTACCGTTATTGGTTTCATCACAGATGGGACTCTCTCACCAAAGCTGAACCCAATAGTATGTCAATGTGATTGTGGCGCATATTGCATTATTAAGGCATCCAATTTCCAAAAAGAAAACATCATCTTAGCTTGTTCAGAGTGTGGGTTAACACAAAACGGGTTTTCTAGACAGTTTTGGGAGATTAATCGAGTGAATCTTGCCGACAAAGTTGTTTGCTCAATATTTGGGGGAGAAAACTTATCCATTGTTAACTTTACTGATCCGGCTAGAACGTATGTAGGTAGCATCAATACTTTGGAAAAGTTATCAATTGATGAATTAAAGTTTCTGACTTACCAATATAACGCATACTCAATAGAACACTTTGCTTTGAGTGAGGATAAGAATCAGCTAGTTAGCCCCAAAATATTTGAAGGTGGCATTCGCAAGAATCTCGTCAATTGCTATGTACATAGACCTGAACTTATTAATCTGGAAGATGTTCCCGCTAAGTTGCACAATCGAAATATTTCTCAAATGATCGGTGTACGCATTGATCGGTATGAAGTTGTAGGCATCCTAAAAACAGAGGATATATACGATTACTCGACAAATAAAGCAACCTTAGTTGCTCGTTGTGAGTGTGGCATGTATTCATTATTCAACTATAAGACATTACATAAACCACAAGAGACCCAATATTATAGTTGCAACAGATGTCAATGTGTTGAAAATGAAATCATACGGCGTGAATTTGAGAAGCACGGTGAGTTGGTCACAGCAGAGAAAGCATGGAAAATATTAGGTTATGTAGCGCCTACAAAAGTGGTGTTTAAAAAGGCATTAAATACAGATGTTAGAAACGCCTATACCCATGAAATTAATCGCTTGGATAAGGATAAGGTTCCGGCTTACCACAAGAAGTATTTTGGAATGCGATTTGGTTATGTGGTTATTGTCGATAGAGCACGGCGTAAAGATGTAAGTGGTAATGCTGATGCCTTCGCTGTCGCATCATGTGATTGTGGGCAAGAATGTTACTTCCCTTATCGGAAATTAAAATTAAATACAGATAGTCCTGTAGTGCTTGCTTGTTCAGAATGTTCATATCAAATTAACAAGACCTTCCATTGGGGAGGTAATAATGGTCAACTTATGGGGCGACCATCAACAGTATTCAAGAAGGTGTGGAGTCATTATCTATACTTGTTCGGTTACGACCGTGAGCTTGAATTTAGTCCTATCTGGCGTGCATATCTATTGATGAAAAAAAATAATCCTGAACTGATTTTTAAGCAGATTGTAAATACGTTAATTGAAGCTGCAATGAGGTTTAAGGAAAAGAATGGCACGATTGAACAAATAAAAAAATGACCGGGATGTAGCTACAAAACGTTAATTCATCATTAGTATGATCCAAATACCTGTATTCATCATACAGGTATTTGGATTCGCATTATTTGTCTTAGCTTGTACCTCATGTTCCCTCATTGAGTACCTTTTCGCAAAATTATTTAAAGTTCCGACATCTATATCAGTATCTTATTGTAGGCACTTACCACACTTAGCAGCCCCAAACCGTATTGTTGATTGGAGCTGCAGGTGTTTAGTTATGATTTGCTATATCAATACGGCGTTTGAACTGGTTTTCATAAGCAACTTGATTATTTTCAAAATAAACATATGGGTAATTCACCATTATCATGTGTGTGATTGATCTCATGAATTCAGTAAATTGATCATTCAATAAATTTGATAATTCTATAGGTTCTAAATCAAGAGACGCATCAAAAACAAGAGGATAACTTATGCAATCTAAAGAATTGTTATAAATACCACCAAATAAAATAAATTCTGGTACTAAGTTCTCCATATTTTCCCCATTGCTAAATAGCGATAGTTCAAAGGAGTAGAAATGATCTGGGATCAAAAACGGGTTTAATATGTCCGAAGTCAGTTTAATCACAGCATTGCCGTTCAACTCACTCAATGCAGAGTATCCTTGTTCAAAGAGATCTTTTAGATTCTGGGTTTCTTCATCATGTACCTTGAAAAAATTTTCAATGGTACATTCATTTGCGTAGCCACCTTCGGTTTCATATTTATATGATCCGCCCACAGAGGTTAAAGTTAAAATAAACTGCTCAAGAATATCAACAAATAGTAAATCTTTTTGCGTGGTCTCCTCCTTATATACATCAATAACACTATTTTTCATGCTGTTTATTTGATGATCGTAATTAGCGTGCATATAGCCACATAGCAACCAAAGCATTTCGATATCTTGGGTAATGATAGTATTCTCATCAGAAAAGGCATATTGGTACATAAACTTCAAACCATATCCAAGACGCAAATATTGCTCATACACCATCCCCACAAGCTCTGCATTCTGTTGGGTATAAAGCTGATTTGATCCTGTATTCTTTTTAAACTCGTCATCTAGGTACGGTTTAATAGCCATCTTGATACTTTCACTTAAGAGTGGCAGCATGGTTTTTCTGAATTGGAAGTGGAATCGATTTATGTACACATAGAATTCGGTGAGAGCACATTGAACCTCATAGAAATATTGAATGAGTTGTTTGAATTCATCAGACATGACATTTCGATTTTTTACACGTTCATCAATCAATTTACATAAGTATAAAGACGAACCCTCATCCATGTATTCCGCCAAAGCATCATCATAAATATCGAATAATTCTTTGTATTTTTTTATTTTAGCATAATCAATATCTTGATTTTTTGGAGCGAATGATTTTACAAGATGTGGATATTCCGCAATTGAATTACAAATTTCAATGATGACTGATTCGGGTTTATGTCTCCAAAGACTGGGATCAGGGAGAATTGTGTTTTTATCATGTGATCTAAATTTGGCATATTTCATAGAATACCTTTCATACTTTATTTGGGGCAATTTGGTCGAAGTGGTTTTGGGTAATCTGATATTAATCAAATTACCCCAAAGATTAGTTTATAGAGGTTTTCAGTTTTTTTACGGTTTTATATTCCATATACGAATGGTATAGGTGATATAAAAACCCACCCATAAAGACAACATATAAAAACGCCTGTATATATTCATAGATTCGGTTTGGCATCACATCTTCACCAGGGGGCAATGTCGCTGCAATGACTAGCCCGATAGCGAGAGATCCAAGACAGAAAACAGAATGAATAGCTGCTTTTTCTTTGCTGTTTTTATACTGGACTTTTTTGGCATATTCTTCGTTATCAATTAACGCCCTCAATTCTGCTACAGAAGCCATTAAAAACCCAATGTTAGAGTTGCTGCCACCTTGTGCCAATACATGAGGTAGATTATGACTGGTATCCGCTATTTTATGGATTAGCACTAATTTTTCTTTATCGCTAAGGCTATCACAATGTCCACGGCTGCAAATACCGCGAATATGGCTCATGCTATCTCCAAGCAAACGTAACACCTGAACATCTTCATTCGATAACTCAATTTTTTGCGTATTCATTACCTTTCCCCCATCATCCTACAGCTTGAGAAACATCATCACCATTTGACTCTTCCACGGTTGTATCAGGAGAAGGGTCAGTATGGCTTTCTGCGAGCTTGTTAGCCTCATGAGTTTCATCAAAACCGTTAATTTTGAACTTTGAATTACCCTGCTCTACGGCACCAATAACAGACTCAAGCGTTTCCGTTTCACATCGGAAAGACAATTGACAAGAATCACAACGGAAACGCATGTTTTCACGATCACCAACTACAGATTGTCCACAGCCACATGTGTACTTGAATTTGGTCTTTGTTTTTACTTGTTTGGGGGGTTCTATTCCGATGACATCAGCCATTGCTGATTTAGATACCACGGCGATTTGGACTGGCTCAAAACCATCGTCTTCATCATCATCATAATCGCTACTGGTGTACTGCATGGTTTTACCCACACCCAAGTTATTATTAATGAAATCATCTTCCCCCCACTCTCGCTCGCCATCTAAACGCCCAATCGTTGGAGAATCGTCTTCGTCATCCTCAAAATCATAAAAATCCTCAAAATCATCATCAGTTGTTGTGATAACCAGATGCATTGCTGCTTTAGATTCGTTAATTTCAATTTTTTGGGTTTCTGGGTTGATCTCAAGACACAGTAAAAGGTTTTCTGACTCAATATTCTTACTTTGCAGCAAAGGGACTTCTAACAACACTGGTGACAAGTCATCACCAAGTGCTTCATTGATTTCGTATACACGCATTAAGATATCATCGACAGATGCCTTACTTGGCATGTCTACATCAAACCAGTTCAGTAGAATGCCTTCCTCCACCAGTTCATTGCACACCTTAAGGAACTTACCATCAGGGAGAATGTAGCTCGACATCTTCTTCCCGACTTCTTTGCCCCCAATTAAACCGGTATTGGATGGATAAAGCCCGATAGTCATCATGTACTCGCCAAAGTGCTCATCATAATGGTCAGTCTTCATTTTCTTCTTCTCGCCGTGTACATAGCGATATAAGCGAGTTAATTCTTGGCAGAAAACACGGAGAACATCAATTTTTGGAACAATTGCGAAGTATTCTGGGTTTAGACTAATTTCATGCTTAAAAGAAGCTT